TTCTTGTCCTCTTGATGTTTTCTGCTTCATTTTTCTGTTTCAGTTTTTTTTTCTGAATCCAACCCAGTCTCTTTTTTTAAAAAAATCTTTATTGTGTAAAATTATTTTTCCATTTTTCTCTCCTATTGGAATATGTCTCTGTTTCTCGTCTACAGGCTCCTCTTGCAGTTGTGAGTTTCCAAGTGTTGACTGGCTTCAGGACTCTGCCCAAGTGGCCAATGTTGGCAGGCAACCTCAACTGTAGAAGGCATCAATGATGAGCCTATCTTTAATCATCTAATTGTCACATACATGCACTACCTGTAAAGTGTGTTGAAGAGGGACCTGGATTAAGAAATCTGTCTGATATTACCCTCCCTGACCCTGGAAAGGCTGGGTACAATTTAGCCTTCCCATGCAGCCATGGTAGTCATAACAAACTCAGCATAGAGAGGGATTCAAACCTTGGGAAAGATATTGTATCCAAGCCCTAACCTGTCTTTATTCCATGTCCACATTCAAAAGTGGACTTAACATTTAAAAAAATATATTAATGGATCACAAGCTTGTAGATGGATGTTAAATATTCTGACTGCACATAGCGTTATAGCACCTTCATAATCTTTTCCCAGAAGGGAATGTAATATTTAAAAGGGAGAAATACACTTAGGAAGTAAGGCATTAAAGAATATGGAGAAATGTCTGGGAAATGGGATCAAAAGATCTGCCATGATCTAATAAAATGGTGGAACAGGTTTGTTCCTGTATTTCACAGTACAACAACAACAACAACAAGATTCCATTTATAAAGCGCGTTTCACGTCAGGAGGACGTCCCAAGGCGCTGCACAGTTGGGTCAGGACCCGAGCATTGGGGAAATGGTCAGGGTGAGGGAAGGGAGGGAGCGAGGAGGGGGAAGAGAGTCGAGAGGGGAGCTGAAGGCTCGGTCAAAGAGAAATTGCACCAATGAGGTATTGCACCAATGAGGTTTTCCCTACTTCCTTCACAGATATTTCCTACTCTGCACCACTTTCGTTTCCTGCCCAATGATTCTATTGATTCTCATGAAGAAGAGTAATTTTAGTAAACATCAATATCTGCAAACCGTATAGCAGAATCATAAGGGAAAAGAGAGCCACTGACAGAAGATGGGAAAGGCGAGGAGACGGCTTGTTTTTCTTTACAACAACAAGATTGCATTTATAGAGCGCCTTTCACGTCGGGAAGACGTCCCAAGGCGCTGGACAGTTGGGTCGGGACCTGAGCAGGGGGGAAATGGTCAGGGTGAGCGGAGGGAAGGGAGGGAGCGAGGAGGGGGTAGAGAGTCGAGAGGGGAGCTGAAGGCACAATTAAAGAGAAAGGTTTTGAGACCGGCCTTGAAGGAGGAAAGGGAGGAGGCGGCGAAGGCACTGGGGGATAGAGTTCCAGAGCCTTTAATCTTTCAAAACTTGATTTGGTTTTAGCCTACCAAACCTCACTTACCAACAAGCTTCTTAATGCCACTAAACTCAGCTAAGAGTGACCATGGCGCTGCTAATAAGCAGAGGCCTTCAATTGTATATACTGCGCAAACTGTAATTTAAGACTTTTTTAAAAAACTAGTTCCATCCTTAAAAGGGCATAGGTGGTGTATCGTTATAAACCAATGAGATGAAAGTCTCCTTTCTCACTTGCCTATACTGTCCTATCTGAAATGAGTTTGGGACACTCTCAAGTCAGTTCAAAGTGGGCATGAGTACAGAGCACAAAACCACACATAATTTGGCAACAGTTTCAAAGAAGCCATATGGATGGCTGGTGTGGGAAACAGTGCAATAACAGATGTGATATTGCAGATGGTGCGAATAGGATATATTATAGAGATCAATGCAGATAAGAATTAGAGGCAGAGTAAAATTCTAATATGGGAATCCTTCATAGCAATGCACATGGTGTTTTATTGTGCACCTCATTAAATCTATATTACACTATTTAAATGGTGAAGGAAGAATAGACCAAATTGAAGAGAGAGAAAAATCAAATACAATGGTTAAAGATGCCAAGCTTGAGTTTCAAAGGCTTGGAGGTGCAAGTGAAAAGACTAGCCAAAGTAACACATTCCACAATCTTGAGGTCCTGGAAAACAATGAGGTGGAGTAACAGAACTGTGCAATGAGTTTTGAGGATGCAGGAAAGGAATAAAAGTGCTGTGTGTAGGTTGGTTCAATTGGAGCTTGGGAGGAACATACTGAGAAAGAATGTCTTGTAACATCAAAAGAATATAGCATGACTAGAAAGAGAAAAACAAATGCACACACACACACACCCATGAGAAAGCATGAGTCCTGACATTCACTTTTTTCTTAGCCTCTTAAGACCATTTTGTCACAGAAACTTTTAAGATTGTGCAGAATTTGGTATTCAAAATTCCTAGTTCTTTTGTAATAATTGCAGAAAACCCGATTCCAAATTTAAGAATTTTCCATAATTCCACAAATGTTAAGATAGAGTGGGTCTACAGACTAAGACTAGATGGAGTTTTGAGCTGAGGATGTTACTTGTATCCTGTCAAGGGCAGTGAGGTGCTAGCAGAGGCACTCCAGGTGCAAAGCAATATTCAGGACAGATACAGTTCTGATATGATTTATTGCAGAAACCTGGCCAGTGGGTACATGATGCGTCTAAGTGGAGGGAGATTTATTTGCAACTGAACCATAGCATTGTATCGGTCCTAGTTTGTTTGATGGCATGATGTCAAAGGAGCTTTTCTGCATCGAGCCTGCACTGTACTGTGATGCACAATATCGAGAACAGATGCCAAAAGTGGAAACGCTTGCTTTAATACACGATTGCTGTTCCCTCATCTGGATAAGTACAAATGTTCTTCCTTCTCGTCCTCCCTCCCCCCAAAAATGAGGCAAAAGGATGGGGCAACTGAGATATTGTCAGGGAAAGGGGAAAAATGATAAAGAAAGAGAAAACCAACCTTGTAGCCACAGAATGAGGCTATGCGCTGTACAGTTCCATTGCCAGCCTACTTCTCTGCAACCAATTTCTAATTATTCTCCATTAGATTACTCACAAAAATGGAACAGTTAACATAAAGCTTGGTGGGCCTCTGGTAGATATTGAATCCACGTTCAGGCACTCGGACAGGTGTGCCTGCTGCTCCCCCAATCCCCCTCCACACATGGAAGTCCCTTAAATAACCAAACCTGTGCCTTCGGTAGCACTCTATTCACAGCCTGCTCAGCTAGTGCTGGTTCTGTGACAATTCAATCTTAGGCCTTGCACTGAATATTTCAGCTAAATGAAAGAGATCAACTGCTGCTAAGAACACTAGCTCGAGACATTTTGCGTTTTATCAGGAGACACAAAAAAGAGGTTAATGTCAGAGGGACATTGAGTCAGTTTATATTTCACAGCCAGGTAAGATCAGTCACTCGCAGTATTCCCAATTCTGCTTTTCACAGACGTAAATGGCTCCTGTGCTCTAAATTCGCTCCCAGCTTCTCCACCGAATGCACGTCATTGTAATAGCACCAGTAGCTGACACCTACTTCCGTGCAAAATAAATTGACGCAGTCACAGATTTGGCGTCAAGCTCTCTGAACACAAGAGACGTACTGACAAGACATGCCAAAGCTTTCAATATCGCAACAATGAGTCAACGAGGCTATAAAGTCAGTCGGTCTTAACATTCTAAGCGAAGCTTCAGTCTCTTATTTTGATGCATTATATAGAAAAGGATTTGCAATTCCTGAACGTAAGAACACTAACACCAGAACATCTAAGCATGTACTTGCCCTCCTCTCCCCCACACTAGCTCAGAGCACTCTGGCCACATTTTCTGATAACTTGTGCTAATTAATTTACTAAAATAAAATGCTCTTTTGCAAAATAGTTGAAGGTCTTTTTTTTTCGCAGATAGGGCAAAATGGATGGATGGGTGAAGAAGGGTGGGGCTGGGGTTGAGAAAAGAGTTCAAATAAAAAAATGAGACTGATGCAGGACCTTGCTGTATCAGCTCACAAGGTCAACACAAAAAGGTCAGAGATCAGTCGTCAGGTTAACATCCCCTCCGCACCGCCAACACGAGTCAATCAAACCAAATCAAGTTTTGAAAGATTAAAGAAAAACAAGGCGTCTCCTCGCCTTTCCCATCTTCTGTCAGTGGCTCTCCTTCCTCTCTTTTCCCTTATGATTCCGCTGTACCGTTTGCAGATATTTTTACGGCCTGTGATAAAACACTGAACACGCATTTTAAATCTGTCATTTCTCTGGAGAGGGTCGAGATTGAATCTTCTGACTATGCCCTGCCCTTATAGTTGCACAGGAAAGAGAGAGAGAGGGAGAGAGAGAGAGAAAAATAGCTCCAGCATTTAAATTAGCATTCAAGCACACAACTACAGACTGTGTGGCTGTGTGCCTGGCAAATAAAATAAGGTACATCCGCCCACCTGGACTCTGAGCAGTCAGATTTACCTTATTGCATAACCTGAAGTCTGCATCAGACGCTACAAGGCCACCTGGAGTTCGGTTTAAAGCTGCAAGGAGGTGTCCTCAACGTCTAGAATCGTGTCCCAATTAGATTTGTTTTTTTGGGGGTGGGGGTGGGGGGGGGGGGGTGGGGGGCCACACCATCCCACATGCATCCATCTGTGTGCCCATCACCAACCTCCTCCTCCTCGTCCTCCACTCCCATCTCCTGAAAACCTGCTGCAGTTTCTGGGGACACAGCAGATCTGCCCCAGAACACATGGGTTTGGTCGGTAGATTGCGGGTCCTCCCGTTCTGCAATGCTGCAACATTTTCTCAAGAGTTACGCGTCGCTCTGCGTCCCCATCGGTCCCGGAGATGCTGACAACTGGGAAGGGACGTGATGCACCACGAGCCGACTTTAACCCCCTTCCTACCCTCATGCCAACTGCCTGGGCACCGGGGAACCCGGTCACCACGACCCAGAGATATATCATCCTATATATAATGCTAATCACACACACACACACACACACACCGGGTCGGGTCTACATCATAAATACCTTCAGTTGCATAGTTGTGGTCGCGCAGAAAACTGTTGTTTATCTTGCGGGTGTCAATCTCCTCCTCCATTTACAGCAGAATTACTTAGCGAACTGGAAATGAAGCAGATAAGTATCCACGATCCCATTGCCCTACCGGGATGGGAGGGAGAGCCCCCCCGAGCACAGCATGGTCCCGCCTGGCAGCCCCGCGACACTCACACACACAGCAAAACAGCTCCTCTCTGCAGCATCGCCCCACTACCGGGACATGGGCTGCTGCACCGGGCAAACCGGGGGCCCTTTTGTTAATAGCTCTTCTTCTTTTAAAATAAAAGCTTCGAACGTCAAATGATTATTATTTCGGTGTCAGATGGAAGTCGGATCCTATTGGTATTAATGAGCGCAGTGAGTCTTCACTTCAAGGCCGGGGCTGCAGGAGCGGGCGATGCTCCCCCGCCCGAGGGAAGGGGTCAACTGTCACAATTCGGTGGTTACTTCAGGTACAGAAAATGCGTCAGGATCTCGGGTTTATCCTCTATCTCTGTCTCTCTCTCTCTCTCTCTCCCAGTACAGTGGTGCATGAAGCTGCTGCTACTGCTCGGGATGTGTTGCATCAGCAGATGCTCCTCCCCTACAGCTTGTCAGTGTCCAACCGCATCTGCACCTCTCTCTCTCTCTCTCTCTCTCACACACAGCACCAGCTCTAAGCTGCAGTGGAAGGACTAAGAGCCGTCAGCAGCGATGTGATAGACAGGAGACTGGTGTGTGGCTTCACACATTCGGCTTCAAATTGCCTATATGCCGTTTAGGGGTTAAAATCAGATTCCTACAGTGTTGTGCACTGGGAGATGCTTCCCTCCTCTCCTCTGGTAAAACACAATCTGCACAATTTTAAATCATGCAGCAGAAAGGGCAAACCTTCACCTGACAATGTCATACAAATCATTCTAACTTATCCTCTTCTCTACCTCCCCCCCACCCTCCCACTCCCAGTTGTGTAACAAACTCACATACCTCTCCCCTCCCAGATGCTTTCTCCTGCCCAGTCCATCTATTCCCAACCTTCCACTGATCTCACGTCCTCTCCTGAAGATATAGACTCACTCTGGGGACAGATCTATGACCACCTAATGCCTCCTTTACCCCACCTATATAGCTAATCCTCATGTGTGATTCCGGCCAGGGAATGGCAGCAAATGGAGCAATGGAGGTTGCGGGGGGGGGGTAGTTGAAAGTCAAGGTTTATCCCAATCTATTTTCCAGCATGGGATCACGGTATAGGTGTTGAAAGCAGTGACCTTGCCAGTCAGAGAAGAACAACACTGGCAGAACATCCAATACCCAAAACACGGACGCTTTGTATTGCTAAAAAGGAGGCTGGTGAAGAGGTTAAGCCACACCAAGTTGAGGACAAATACGAATGCTTCAAGCACCAATGATGAAGGGTCATTTGCCTGCTTATGACGATTGATTAAATGCCATCTAGTTTGGTTGACCTTGGTCAGATGCATAACAGTGAATGGAATTTTGTCATACATTCTGTCTGATACATTCAGTCTGACATTCTGTCCATCTGGGACCAGGGCCAGTAAGGACATACTCGCCTTAGAGGGGGTGCAGTGTAGATTCACTAGGTTGGTTCTGGGATGAGGGGGTTGACCTATGAGGATAGGTTAAGTAAACTAGGCCTATATTCTCTAGAATGTAGAAGAATTAGCGGTGATCTTATAAAAACCTATAAGATTCTTCCCCGGTTGGAGAATCTAAAACTAGGGGTCACAGTCTCAAGATTAAGGGTCAGCCTTTTTGAACTGAGTTGAGGAAACATTTCTTCACTCAGTGTAGTGAATTTGTGAAATTCTCTACCCCAGAAGGCTGTGGATGCTCAGTCCTTGAACATATTCAAAACTGAGGTTGATAGATTTCTAAAGGATAGAGGGATTAAGGGATATGGGGATAGGGCGGGTAAATGGAATTAGGTTAAAAGATCAGCCATGATCTTATTAAATGTGGCGGGGCAGGCTTGAGGGGCTGAATGGCCTACTCCTGCTCCAATGTTTTTGGCTCTCTCTGCCTCTTCGTCCTCCTTGACCTCTCTGCTGCCTTCGATACCGTCGACCACTCTATCTTCATCCATCGCCTCTCCTCTCACCTCAACCTTCACGGCTCTGTCCTTGACTGGTTGAGATCGTACCTCTCACACCACTCCATCTCCACAAACGGTTTCTCCTCTAGTCCCCGCACTGTCTCGTGCAGCGTTTCTCAGGGCTCTGTCCTTGGTCCCTCTTCTTCAATATCTACCCTCTTAGTGACATCATCCGCAGACATGGGGTCAACTTCCACATGTATGCAGATGACACCCAACTGTACCTCTGCCTCCACCCTTGACTCCAGGACCACTGCTGTCCTGACAGAATGTCTGTCAGACATCAAGTCCTGGATGAGAAGTAATTTTCTTCAGATGAATTTCAACAAGACTGAGGCTATCCTGAATGCCTCCCGTCAGCACCTCCATGCCTCAGGCATTGACAGCATCACCATCCAAGGGTGCACCCTCCACCTTAGTAAGCCACTCGGGAACCTTGGCGTCTTGTTTGACCCTCAACTATCCTTTCTACCCCACATCAGTGCCATGACCCGCTCTGCCTCCCCCCACCTCCGCAACATCGCCCAGCTCCGCCACTGTCTCACACCACAGGCTGCCGAAACCCTCATACACAATTTCATTACATCGAGGCTTGACTGTGCAAACTCCTTGCTTGTCGGCCTCCCCAATTCCTCTCTCCATAGGCTGCAGATCATCCAGAACTCTACACCCTGTGTCCTCTCCCGCACCAGGCTCTGTGACCCTATCACCCCCACCCTCTCCCGACTCCACCGGTTTCCCATTTCACAGAGGATACAGTTCAAAGCCCTCCATAGTCTTGCTCCCCTTTACCTCTGCGACCTCCTAACCCCCTACTCCCTAACTCCCTCCGTCAGTGGGCTCCGGCCTGCTTCACACCCCCCACCTCGCTCACCCCACCAATGGCGGACGGGCCTTCTGCCACTCTGCTCCCACCCTCTGGAACTCCATCCTGCAGTCCCTCCACCTCGCCCCCTCCATTGCCTCCTTCAAGAAACATCTCAAGACTCTCCGTGCTTTCGATCACCCTGCTTCCCCCCTGCCCTGCACCCTCCCTGATCCCAACCCCCAGCTCGGGCCCAAAACAATGACCGTTCAACGCCTTGGGACATCCTTGTGGAGTCCTGTGGCTCAGTGGTTAGAGCACTCGCTTTGCAAGTGAGAGACCTGAGTTCAATTCCAGGCAGGTCAGGGCAAAACCTTGGGCAAGTTTCCTTACTCCACACAGAGCCTAATAATAATCCCTCCAAAAAAAACAAAAACAATAATAAATTGGTCATTTTCAATCTACGACTGTTTGTGGGACATTGCTGTGCGCAATTGGCTGCCGCGTTCGCCCACAAATATACAGTCAATTCACTTTACAGTGTGTTCTGTGAAGCGCTTTGGGACGTCCTCCCGACGTGAAAAGTGCTATATCAAAATGCAAGGATTATTATTATTATCCTCCCAACGTGAAAGGCGCTATATAAATGTAATTTTGTTGCTGTTGTAAGCCAAGGCCTCTGGGGAAGGAGTATAAAAACACTTCACATCTAGAGATATTCCCCTTCCTCTGGGATGAATTTGGGCAACTTAAATAAGATACTTTTCATGCCAATTATGATGCTGCATTCAGTAGTCAACATCATGAGTGGGGAGGGGAAAGAAGACAAAGTAGTCCGATACAACAGTAAGATCCAACAGAGGACCCATGCACCCCTAGAACATACATCCATACTGCCTTTTGGAAACAATCCCAGAAGGGCAACCTTGCTGCACCATATCCAGCAGCCAGTATGACCGTCGAGCATTCATGGGTTAGACATAGTCAGATGGAGAGGACCTACCTCACCCTAACTGTGCGACTTAACCTGAACCCAAGAACAGGTCCTATGAACCAGTATGACTTTCCATTCCCTGCACTGGCCAGCCTATGGCAATCTACTGAGCTTGCCAATTTGAACTCAATTTAAAAGCAGGTTTTGTGTGGTAAGACCTCCTATCACCTTCATCACATCAAAATTACTCCAAGGCCATTACAGTAGCTATAGTCGAGTGTTAACTGGTTTTGTAGACAAATGCGGCAACCAAGTTTTTCATAGAAAGGTCCCACAAACTTGTGAATGTCCGATTAATCTGGAAGACAGTGTAAAGCCTCATGTGAAAGAAACACCTCAGACAATGCAGCGTTCCCCCAGTAATACACTGGAAAGTCAAGATTAGGAGATCAAGTCCTGAAGAGGGGGTTGAACTCGCAGGAATTCGACTAAACAAGCCAAACTGATGACTAACAAAGAGGCCAGTTCAGCAGCTTTCTAATGGCCTAGTGGATAAAATAATGTTGGGCCCTCTACTACCACCTTTCATCATTTCATTGTCTTGATCAGAAACATTTGATTGAAGGATACCTCCAATCCGTGCACAAGAACTGAATCCTGGGGAGTGGGTGGGTGGGAGGCTAAGGACGAGAAGAGTTGCCGATAGTGAAAATCACCATTTTAAAAATGTATATTTGCCAATATGTTCAGCTGTACACTGGGAGAACAGACTAAGCAACAGCTGGAAACATTAACATGCATATTTTAAGACTTCCTTATCTGAAATACTGAATTTGACAATCTCACAGCTGTCAAAAAGTACCAGGTATGGAGCAGTCCAATCCAGCATTGGAACTTGGGTTCATTCCCACCACCAATTCCCCATATTCATTACATCAGATTTAAGAGCTTTCTGTCTTAATGAACAATTAAATATACTGATAAACTTTGTATGGTCTTCTATAAAGTTATCTTAAACTGCTTTTTCATTCATCCATCCAATTTGATCTATGGTAAATGAGTTTGCCGTGTTGTAAATGTCATGCACAACAAACAATATTCATGACAGACGTCACAAACTGCCTGACAACACTCACTATACATTGTATACATTGGATTACAATTTACAGATTTCATGCTATTGAGCTGCCAGGTTTTGCAATTGCTAAAAATAAAAATCACAAGAAAGCAACTGGTACATCAAACAGCATAAACAATCTAAGCCCATTGCGGAAACAAGTGCTTTAGACATAAGACAGGTTGTAGTAGAACTAAAAGGGAATATAGGAGAAACGTCTGCATGTAGAAGGTGTCGTAAGCTATAGTTGAAGCAAAAACACCAGTGTATTTAAAATCAAACATGGTATACACGTGAAAGAGATGGGAATAGATGTAGTGGGGGCTCGTGTGTTGGGCTGAATGACCCGTTTCCACGACAAATCATTCTATGTAATTCTGTATGTGTGCAGTGGTAGCTCCCCACTCGAGAGGTCATTTAGAGGTCAAAGAAATGTTTACTTTCATTGATAATTAATCCCCATCACCAGGTTTCCATCCTTGACTCCACTGTTGTCAACACAGACTGCCTGTCAGACATCAAGTCCTGTATGAGAGCTAACTTTCTCCAGTTGAATGTCAACAAGACTGAGGTCCTCCTGCTTGGCTCCCGTCAGCGTCTCCACACCTCAGGCGCTGACAGCATCACCCTTCATGGATGCACACTACACCTCACTGAGCCAATATGGAACCTCGATGTCCTATTCGACCCTCAACTGTCCTTCACCTCCCACATCTGTGCCATGAACTGCTCCACCTTTCCCCACGTCCGCAACATTGCCCGGCTCTGCTA